TTTTCAAGAGAGAGAGAGAGAGGGGTGAGATTGCCTGATATTTTAAAAATTCGAACAGGGCGCCAGGGAGAAAAGTGCCGTTTCTTTTTCTTTTTTTGTTTTCTTTCCACTTTTTTTTACTTGTGAAGAAATTTTAATTAAAATAGTGGGGATTGAATTTATTTTTAATTTACAGTAATTTATTTAAAAATTAGTATTAAATTTTGATATTTATGAATTGAGTAAATTCTATAATTGGTCCTTTATAACATGGGGGTTTCTCTATTTAGTCCTCTATTATTATCAAATATTACCCCAGTGGTTCTTCTTTTATGGGTATCTTTCCACAAATAGTCTTTTTTTGATCTTCTATCATGTTTGTGTTAATTTGAGGGCTAAAAGTGTAATTTCACAATGATAATATATCTTTTTTGTCATACACAATTACAAAGGCTGTTCTGTTTGCGTCATTTGTGAATTACAGTCGCTTTCTACTACAACCATAGTCTACAAATGTGGTCTTTCGTCAGAATTCTAGCCCACAATCATATTCATTATTTTTGTGTTATCCGCTTAACCAATATTAGAACACGTCACTAGACATAATGTTGTTATGAAATTATACTTTTAGCCTTTAAATTAACACCAACACAGTAGAAGATCAAAAAAAGGATCATTTGTGGAAAGGTATCCTTAAAAAAAGACTACGGGGGTAATATTTAATAATAGAGGACTAAATATGGAAACCCGTGTGTTATAAAGGATCAATTATGGAATTTACTCTTATGAATTCAAGTAAAATATTTATGAAACTATGAGCAGTATTATTATGGGTGGACTTTTTTTATCAGCATCACAGATAATGTCTTCGAGTCATTTCATATCAGGGTGGATTTTATGAAATGCATTTCATAACGGATTGTTCTCATAACCTATTGGGACGGCTTAAACCCGATAATACTGAGTCGTGAATATGTAGTTCTAAACTCGAGCTCGAATTAACCCGGATCCGAAGGGGACGAACCCGACCTAACCGACCGATTTGCCAGCTCTAAACACAAGTAGATATCTATAACGGATTGTTCTCATAACCTATTGGGACGGCTTAAACCCGATAATACTGAGTCGTGAATATGTAGTTCTAAACTCGAGCTCGAATTAACCCGGATCCGAAGGGGACGAACCCGACCTAACCGACCGATTTGCCAGCTCTAAACACAAGTAGATATCTGTAACACCCCGGCCATAAGTGTTCGCTCATAGAATTGTAGACTGTCCTCACAAACCAACACAAGTCTTTCCCGCACACTTTGTCCTCACTCGTGTGCGCCCAAGGAAAACTTCCCAGGGGGTCACCCATCCTAGAATTGCTCCAGGACAAGCACGCTTAACCTTGGAGTTTCTAGGTGATGAGCTCTCGAAAAGAAGATGCACCTTGTTGGTATGAGTAGTACTATCAATCCTTTTGAGCTATTCTCATTCCCATCTTGATACGGGGTATTACAATATCTTTTCTATTTAGTATTGTACGGAGTAATGTTCTACTTTTTTTCGTCCTAAAATATTGTACACTTCATGCAAAATGAAATGAATTTTTAAAATTTCTTAATTCATTTATTAAAGGTTGGGATAGAAATTAAAAATAAAACTTACATATTTAAAAACTACGTAAAAACTTTCACAATACAAGAAATGACAAGAATATTTTATTTTATTACATAATCAATCAAAAGGCACAAATAAACAAAAAAATCCAATGACTTTTGAATAACAAAGAGTGTGATTTTTTTGGGACGGTGGGAGTATATTATTTCCTATTTGTATTGTATAATTTATTGGTTTGTAGATTTTAAAATCAATTACATGCTCAGTTTAAAATGATTTATTGGTTTGTAGATTTTAAAAATAATTACATGATTAATTTAAAATAACTATTTAAAAATGATAATAATAAGTTAATGAATTGAGATAGGGGAGAGTCGATCGGCTGACATTAGTCTCTCATGTCATCCTAACATGAGCCTAGATTGGAGCACTTACGGTGCTCCGTTTAAAAATTGATGGTTCCTACCCCACCAAAATTTACGGTACTCCGTTTAAAAAATTGATGTCATCCTATATATTTGTATTTAATTGTAATTAGTTGACATATATCTATTTATTTAAGGAGATCTTACATTAATAGAGAATCTGTACATATAATATACAATTACAAGGATATAAAATAGCAAAGAAGATCTCCTTAAAATAAGAGATATATGTCAACCAATTACAATTAAATACAAATATATATACTAAATATATACCTGATCCTATGTAAGTAGTGTTATGTTGCTCAACTTGATAGCTAGCTAGAGAAAAAAAATCGAAGTAGATTTTTTTTGTTTAGATAGTAGTTTTTTTTGTTTATTAAGAACATGTTTCAATTAGTTTCAATTTTGACTAATAATTAAATCTAATAAAATCATTTTATATCAATCTTTAATATAAATTTTATTTAGCTTGAAGTCAAAGTTTAAATAATTTTGACAAAAAAGTTAAAGTGGACAAATACTCAGAATTTAATGAGAATTTTAAACACTGCTATATGTGAAAGGGTTTAAAATTTGTCCATACCAAATTCCGAAAAAGTAATGGTGGATATGAGTTTATTGACAAACTCAATTACGTTTAAAAATATTGTTTTTTACGCGTTTTGTGTTAAAAATTTACGGAATAAATCTTAATTCGACATTGATTATGAAATAAGTTGAATATAAAATCATTTTAACCAAACATCCTAAGTAGTTACGACTTACGAGTATGAGATTATGGTCTCGTTTCGCATCAGCGTTAGAGATTAACGTTAACATTTTTAAAATAATATCTGACGGTAGCTTTTAGCATAAGCATTTTCCGAATTAATCTACACAATTAAAATTTTATCCACAACACTATCGTAAATCGAAAACGATGTATCCAAACAATGCCTATGAGAGATAGAGGGTTTAAACTTTGAAATGAAGTCTAAAAACAATAGGGAGAAAAACCAAAATAGCACTGTAAGAGAATTAAAATACTCTAAATAGCAGTGCTATATGTTTCATACATGTAATTCCGATTTTATCCTTTAATTAAACAGCAAATGTTCATTATTCCTGCCAAAAAATATGATTATTTTGGGCAATGTGGTTGTTCACTCGTAATTGTGTAGTGGGCAGTGCGGTTTTTTATATGTGAGTTTTTAATGTGGCAATGTAAAATGGATATATGTTGTTATATCTTACGGCAGTGTGTAAATGTATTATTGTGTTCCTTAATTTCATGTTGTAGTGTAATGTCCATTGATTTATGTGGCAGTGATTTCACGTATTAATTCTACACTATCAAAAAATGTATGACTATTTTCATCTATGAATTCCACACTGCCCAAAAAATGTATAGCTCTTTTTATGTATGAATTCCACACTATTTTCATGTATGAATTCCACACTGCCAAAAATGTATATGATTGTTTTCATTTATGAATTCCACACTTTCCAAAAGTGTATGACTGATTTCATGAATAATCTATTACACCAAAACACACTGGCCAAACATGGGCTTGGCTTTTTTTTGTCTTTCTTGATTTTGAATAATGTTAGAAGATGTTAGTATTAGACATATGTTGAATTTCATTTATGTGGTAGTGAAAAGAAACGGATAATGAAGGTATTATGTTGTAAATTTTAAGACTTTGTAAGCAGCATACACTGCAACATTATATAAAATTGTGCAACATAGCACACTAGCCAAAACATAGGACACAATACACTGCCAAAAAGTATACCTAGATCACAAGCATTCCACACTTCCAAAAATTTTTGAGCTTACACTTCATACTTTGTTTATTAAAGTTATTCAAGCACTAGTCATTTTGGTAATTTTTTTGTGTCCGCTTCCAATGGAACTCAATGAATAATTTATTACATTGTGATTTTTAGATATAAATCCCATTCGACCAAAACACACTAGGCAAACATGGTCATAGGACATTTCCAAAAAGTGTAGCTAGAAGTTGATTATTCCACACTGTCAAAAAAATATCAGCCCCTATTCCGTAACACGTTTCCATAACGAACTCTTGAATGTTCAAACCCAATAGTCATAGAACGAAGCACATGGCTTTTGCACAATATGAAATTCAATTCATAATTCATAACATTGGAAGTTTTATATGTATGTCTAATTTCACTGCCATATTATTAATAGAAGTTAATAAAGTACATACAAATTTGTTTAGGTCGCTAACTTTTATACACTACCATACTTTCACTCTTGTCTGCCACATTATATATAGAAGACATATTCACTGCCAAAAAGTGTTTGCATAACATGATCAATCTGTACTGCCCATATATTTATAGCCACCATATTGAGTAACACATTTCATAACAATCTCTTTCATGGTAAAAC